TTTGATCCTAGTCTAAAGAGGCGCGCGAGCACTGGGAGTACACGGCCTACAATGCGAACCCTGCTTCTGAGGCGTCTTTCTACTTTCTACTTCTGCTGTCTTCTCTTGGCTTCCTCAGCCTCAGTCAGGAGAGTTGCCTCTCCTCACCTTGGCCTTCGGTCGCCACCTACTCTACCTCCATTCAGCTTCCTCACCCTCAGTCAGGAGAGTTGCCTCTCCTCACCTTGGCCTTCGGACGCCACCTACTCCTCCTCCATTCAGCTTCCTCAGCCTCAGTCAGGAGAGTTGCCTCTCCTCACCTTGGCCTTCGGTCGCCTCCTACCTTCTCTCCTTACCTTGAGCTCAGCTCAAGCTCGGTACGGGCTCGCCCCGTCTTCTTCCTCGCCCTCGCCTTGCTCTTCCTCCATGTCTTCCTCTTCTTCGTCATCTTCCCTCATCTCCACCCGCAGTCGGTCCTTCTTGTCCACCTTCAGCGAGCAGGCCAGCACATGCATCTCTGCGAATTTACTCAGTGCTATGAACAGGAAGCTAAGAGATCGACGCTCTATGTCGTCGCTCTCCGCCTCCTGCTCAAGCTCAGCAGCTGCCGTTGCCCGTGGCGAGAACGCGCTGCCCCTCCTTGCCTTCTTGCTCTCTCCTTGCACGCGAGTCCAGCGCTTGCTCTGCAGCCACTTCCCCAGCTTCTCCTTGAGAACGTTGCGTCCCACTCCCTGCTCCTCTGGCGTCTTCGCCCACTCTCCCAGCGACATGAACTCCAGGCTCCCCGGAGAGTAGAAGGTGTCGTGGAGGTTGCCAACAGCCTTGTCCAGGACCAGCTTGATCGGCTCGCTCGTCCCCGCCTCGTTCAAAGAAGCTGCATCTTCGATGACTGCTGACAGCTCGCTGACAAGCTGCATGTCCTCTTGGCTTGACGGAGATGCTGCCTCCATTGTGATCCTCTCCAGGTCTGTAAACTCCAGCCACTCTCCCTCGCTTTCCTCCTGTCGCTGCGCTGCGTCGCTGGTGCCCCGCTGACCAGCCGCCTCAGGCTCCTTGTCGAAGCCGACTGCTTCGAGCTTGGTGGCTGCGCCTTCGAGATAGAAGGGCAGCTCCTTCATCATGCATCGAGCATCCTCCGTGGAGCCGAGGAGGATGCATAGCTTGGACCCGTTCCAGGACTTGGTGTTCAAATCCTCCTCCATGTCGATGCCTTCAACTTTGATCTCGAGCCTGTTAGCGATCTCCAACAGGACTCTCTTGACTCTTGCGATGGACGTGTTGCCGCCGTTGCACAGCCCCTCCATCTCCTTCCTCGTGAAGCGACCAGATGCCGCCGTCGACTTGATGATGATCTTGATCTCCTTGCCGTCCTTGCCGCCTGCCTTCTTCTGCAGTCTTGATGCCTTCTTCAACTTATTTCTGGACACAAAGCGATCGGCTGTCAACTCGACTGCGAGCGCCTCTCTGATCTTCGGGTCCTCGCTGAACAGAGTCAGGTGTACTCCCTCCATCGCTTCGCTCTCTCGGAAAGCTCGAAATGCTGTATCATTCGCCTCTGGGGAGCTCGAGGAGACGATCCACTCCACCTCCCTCTGTCTCCAGATGACGTTGGCCCCTACAGCGACGAAGCCTTTCTGACCTAAGCCTTTGTGGACTTGCTGTCCTGGCGCCCCAGCGACCAGCATGCCTGCCAGCGGCTGGAGTTGGACCGCTGCAAGGGACTGGCGCAGCAGCTGATAGCGATAGACGGCAGCTATCTCAGCCGTTGTCATGCCGCCCAAGGTTAACAGGTGGGTCAGCTCTGCCAAGCTGCCCCCTTTGCCCCAGGGTCCTCTCTTGGCTCGAATCTTGAAAGATCGATCGTGCACGATGCTCACATGTACAGCTGTGAACTTGCGACCATAGATCGCGAAGTCCTCTCTTCCCTGCCAGAGCTTCTCCGCTTGTGCATTGCGGAGGAAGGAAACAGTCACCGGGATCTCCTCAGCACTCGCTATCTCGGGTCTATACGGAGCCTTCCACATGATTGCTTTACTCTCTTGCACTGAGTCTACGATCAGTCCGATCTCTTCGAATTTCTTCTTCAGCTTCTCTTCATGGTTGACATACACCGAGGAGATGCCCAGGAGAGTCATGGAGATGAAGGAAGTCACCTCGTTGCCTGCTGAGGCGGTGTATGTCTCGACCTTCTCCTTCTTGGCTTCTTCAATCTGCTTCATAAACCATTCTCTGGATGCGTCACTCCATCCAGTCATTGCTTCTTGTAGAAGCTCACGTCGTGCCTGCTGACATGTCGAGCGGATGGCTTCTGCGATAGCGTCGGGGGTGCATCCCTCCACAGCCTTGCAAGCCTGGGCTGTCCTGCTGTTAGGATAACGCTTCGCGAAGCTCTTCACCCTCTCGACCAGATCAGCTTCGAGGACAGAGGCATCCACAAGTCCGCTCTGCGTGTATTGGCATGATCTCTGATACAGCAGGTTGCGAACACTCTCATCATACTGAAGAACCATACTTAGAAAGCTATTTGAAGTATACAAACCTCTCGCTTGCAGCTTCCTTGGCGCCCTGGCAGCTTCCCCTACACCACGCGTGCAGCCATGGTGACCACGCGTGCAGCCATGGTGCTAAACCCTAAACCCTAAACCCTAAACCCTAAACCCTAAACCCTAAACCCTGAGCTGCGCCTGCCTCCTTGATGCTAGGCTTGTTTTCCTTCCCTGCCGCCTGTGCTCCATATGTGGCTTGCCCCTGTGCCGCGCCTGCCCCCTCACCTGCCCCCATCGGACTAGGTCGACTCGCTTCCCCTTCTTGCCGTCCATAGCATGTGTTGCACCTCCATCAGTTGCTTGATTGCTGCTGTCTTGATGCTTTCCCATTCCGTGTCTTCCAACCCTAAACCCTAAACCCTAAACCCTAGTAGTAGTAGTAGTTGAGTTTATTAGAATGCTAGGTAGGTTGCATGGCTTGTTATCACCTTGCTCTATTCTAGTCTAACAGGGATCTCGTGACCTGGCAGTTCGGCCCGACTTGGCTGGCCCCTATGGCAGCCGTGCTTCTGCTCTGCTCCCTCCTCTGATATACTTCAGTGGTCTTCCCCGGCCCCAGCCAGTGGAGTTTCCTCCGCCGGCCTTGGCCTGGGTCGTCCGTGCTTTACTTGTGTTGCTTCCTCGGCTCCGACACACCTTGGCGGTCTCGGCCGGCCTTCGGCCAGTGAGTGGATGATGGATGAGGTGGCAGGTGGGTTGTGGATGGGTCCCTGGGACTCACGTCCCTTCCCCCGGGCCTCGGTCCGGACAACCCTAAACCCTAAACCCTAAACCCTATTATTATTATTATTATTTGAGTTTATTAGACTCTTAGTCGAGAATTTCATAGCTAAGAACTATTGCTCTTTGCTCATCTCTCGCCTAACCCTAAACCCTAAACCCCAAACCCTAGTCCGATCTCTTCGAATTTCTTCTTCAACTTCTCTTCATGGTCGACATACACCGAGGAGATGCCCAGGAGAGTCATGGAGATGAAGGAAGTCACCTCGTTGCCTGCTGAGGCGGTGTATGTCTCGACCTTGGCCTCCTCCATCTGCTGCATAAACCACTCTCTGGATGCGCCACTCCATCCAGTCATTGCTTCTTGGCGTCGGGGGTGCATCCCTCCACAGCCTTGCAAGCCTGGGCTGTCCTACTGTTAGGATAACGCTTCGCGAAGCTCTTCACCCTCTCGACCAGATCAGCTTCGAGGACCGAGGCATCCACAAGCTCGCCCTGTGCGTGTATTGGCATGATCTACGATACAGCAGGTTGCGAACACTCTCATCATACTGAAGAACCATACTTAGAAAGCTGTTTGTTGAACTATACCAAACCCTTGCTCGCAGCTTCCTTCGCGCCCTGGCGGCTTCCCCTACACCTGGCGCGCAGCCATGTGCCCGAAATACCCGGCGCTGCAACCCTAAGGCCCGCCAAGGTAACAGTGCAGCAGGCAAGGACCTGGATGTCGCAGTAGAAGTTGTGGGTTCTGGTTGATGAAGCGATTCCGAGGGAGGAGAAGAAAGAATTCTCCGTAATGCGGGTTTTCATTGCATCATTTTAGGAATTGACACTCTGGTGATGAATTGCAAATGAAGCTACGCGACAGACAGCCGAGTCAAAAACAAGCAGTCCATCATCTGCGTCACCCATCGAGCCCTCCCTCCGATGATGCTACGATCAGCGAAGCAGAGAATTCTTTTTAAGCGACTGTTTGGGGAGGCGGTAGGATCTCATTGTTGCTCGACCACGTGAACCCATGGTTATCAGTGCTTTCTTGGGAGGAGTGAACGTCGAAAGCTTACACCATGTGTTGGCCTGGCTTTTATGCGATGCGCTCAGAAAGCATGGAGTTTGTCAAGGAAACACTGCCATCGGTGTTGAATAGAGAGATCTTGCTGAGGCGTCGGTACATGTTCTCCAGCTTTGCCTTCTCCTCCTTTGAACATCATCGGTATCACCAACTTCAAATCAGCATTTTCACGACTTACAACCAACACTGAATGGATCCGCATTCTTGCCTGTTCCTTAGGTCACGTCTCGCCTCGTTTCTCGCCACTTGACTCACCATACGCATCGCCATCACTCGTCTCTCCATATTCTTCTCACTGAGTCAGCTCCTCATGCTTGTCTGGCCACAATGATTCACCTGCAGATTCGTATCGCCTGCCTTCACGCCGTTCCCCACCTCATCTGGAGCATTGACATCAAAGGAGCTGCTATCAGAAGGGTTCAGCACCTTGCTCCAACTCGAGGAAGACAAGCATCTCTTTCGCATCGGCGGGCCTCAGCAGCGGATCCTTATTGACGATGAGCCAAGTACTTGTGCTAGGAAGTGCCTCACCTTTGCAAGAGCTCTCTTGTAAAGGAATGAGGTACTCCGCGAGATTGGTGGGCCTGAGCGAGGTCACAACATCAGAGTCAGCCCCCTTCTCTCTTACTTTGTTCGAGCGTAAGATCCCGAGGCTCTCCTGCTTTGATCCCTTGTGCCTTCCGTTAATCCAAGTGGAGCAGCGCATGCCAATGAATACAGTGTATCATGTCTTCCATCTTCTCACTGATTTCAAAGGGAAATTCCCCTGCGAGCAGGGGTCAACATGTCAAAGGCGGGAAAAGAACAACCTGACAACATGTGATATAGAAGAATTCCAACAGCCCAGATATCGATGGCTGTCATATGACATCCAGTTAAGCAAACAAGACAGGCAAACACAACAACGACCAGTGGAAGCATGCTTTCCCTCCAGCAATTGTTCAGGAGCGAGGTATGCTGCGTCTTGATGCTTTAGGGTTTCATGAGCTACTTCAAGCATTCTCAGCAGTCATCGACCTTCGATCTTCTTGCAATTCCTTGGAATGATCATCAGCTCGAACATACAAAGGAAAAGAGACATTACGTTCGCCAACTCCATGTGTAAAAGAGAAATTGATGAGCTGTGCAGAAATAAAACTCTGAATCCTCAACACATACAGTGATATCTTACTTTGACAAATGGTGCCATCTTTGCAATCATGATGTTGGAGGGATTGATACCGCAGTGCACAATCGCTAGCACGCTGATTTAGAGAAGAAAAAAGATGTATGAAATCAACACCTCGCGCATGTAGAGCAGAAAGACCCTTTAGCACTCCTCGTATGATAGCTACCGCCTCCTGTCACATGAATCATGAGGCAAGCAACCGTCAGGATAAACCCGATGGAGGAACTTACATCTTCCGAGAAACGCGTGTGGATCTTCAGCAAAGCGTCCAAGTCACTACACAGCACTTTCAAACTAAAAAGCTGAGCGCTTCCTCCTCTGAGAATGCTTCACACCTTCCTTGGATCGCTTCCATCCTCACATAGGTTATGCCCTCGGCAATGGAGTGCATTTCGAAACATCTGCGCACACAAGTCAGTAGGAACAAAGGCGATCAAGATCAGTACTGAGCGACGTTGGGATGCTCTAGTTGACCCATGGCCAGATGCCTTTCGAGGAAAGTTTGATGCTCGCTTAGAGGCACCTCTCTGAAAACATCTCACTCTTCAAAATAAATAGAAGCAATGACGGCACTTGGGAACAATCTTCAATACAACAGAAGCTCGATCACTTGAACTCTGGAAAACACTCAGTTTCTCATTCTCTAAAGTTCATTCGTCACATGTGCAAGGATCAGAAAGCGACTCTTCGTTCTCTTTATGTTTCTCAGCCATGAAAGATTCGTGTCAATCGTCCTTAAAACATCAATTGCCTGTAAATTGAATGATTCATTTGCATTGAAACTTTTCTCAGCTGATCATCTCTGTACACCCTCTGACCCTCCCTCATCCGCTCCTCAGCTTCTTCTCCCTCTTCGCTTGATCCTCCTCTCATGTTCGTCTCTTACGTCGTTTCGGTCGCGCTTGTCGGCCACATTGGCATCCACCATGCCGTTCGGGTCAGCCCTTTAGTCAAGTTGACCCCGACGATAGCTGATTTCAATCGATTTGATACTTGACAAAGTCTGCACTTTCACAAAGATGCATCGGAGGGGTGAGTGACGAAGAGGAGGAGGAAGGAGAGGAGGTGGAGAAAGTCAAGAGAGAGAGAGAGGAGGAGAGAGGAGAGAGGAGAGAGGAGAGGGAGAGAGGAGAGGGAGAGAGAGAGAGAGGAGGAGGAGGAGGAGAGAGAGAGGGAGACAAGAGAGAGAGAGAGGAGGAGGAGGAGGGAGAGGAGGAGGAGGGAGAGAAGGAGGAGGGAGAGAAGGAAGAGGAGGGGGTGTGGGAGGGAGGAGAGGGAGACGAGGGAGAGGGAGACGAGGGCGATCACGGCTGTGAGGATGAGCACTATGACGATGAGTGATATGAGAGCAATGGAGGAGGAGGATGAGAGGGGAAGAGATAAGAAACAGGGGGTGAAGCAAGAGTTCGCTTGTGGACTAATTGTTCAGATGGATCAAGCACTTGATAAGCATGTGCTTGTGCTTGATGAGTCTGGTAGACTCAAAGCAAAAGAGCTTTGCGGATCTCGGCTATGAAGGAGTTGATCTGTCCAACCAGGGAAGGTAAACTGCTTCAGAAGATCAGTGTACCCATGCATGATCCTGCTGCAGGTTTGACGAAGCACTCATGCTCTTCTTAGAGATGGAACGCATGCAGCCACTGGATGCAGAGGTCAGTGAAGGTTGTGAGATAAATGAGAGGACAGTGAAGGTTGTGAGATAAATGAGAGGACAGTGGAGGATACGAGTGGGGCTAGTAGGATAGTAGAGGATACGAGTGGGGCTAGTAGGATAGTAGAGGATACGAGTGGGGCTAGTAGGATAGTAGAGGATACGAGTGGGGCTAGTAGGATAGCGGAGGATACGAGTGGGGCTAGTAGGATAGTAGAGGATACGAGTGGGGCTAGTAGGATAGTAGAGGATACGAGTGGGGCTAGTAGGATAGTAGAGGATACGAGTGGGGCTAGTAGGATAGCGGAGGATACGAGTGGGGCTAGTAGGATAGCGGAGGATACGAGTGGGGCTAGTAGGATAGCGGAGGATATTAACTTGGGGTCAGAACCTTGTAAACATCGCGATCTGCCTGGAGAATCTCAACCGGCTGGATGAAGTGGAAAGATACTTGCAGAAGTGATGGATGCCGTCCTCCACCTGCTCCTGCTCCCTTGACTGCTTCCCAGGGCTACCAAAATCGAGCCGAAGCGCGAAGACGCCTGGAGCATGCTGGGGCAAGTGTTTGTCAGGAGAGGGCAGGCAAGGAGCTTTGAGGGGCATGGCATGCAGACTGACGGCTAGGATGCAAGATCGACTCTGCTCTGGTAGCCTACAGCAAGGCTATCAAGTTGCACCCCAAGGCAGACATGCTTTACTTGTAAGAGGGAAGGTTGGAGGAAGAGAGATGCTCTTGGGAAGCGAAGAAGAGCAAACGTGGGAGGATGGGAGAAAGAAGATGAGACAATAGGATGAGACAATAGAAGAGAGAGATCATGGAAGAAAATCGAAGGTCGGAGGCTAACTAGCTAAAATGACTTGGATATCTACAGTGCGCGTGGCAATGCTCATCAAGCAAGGGGAGATCACTACAGCGCTTCTGCGTATGTTGCGGGCTGCTCTGATCCCTGCCTTGACTCGCTTCCGGCAGAGATTTCTTGCAGGCGACCAAGATTCAAGACTCCAACTATCAGGTGCTTGGTACAGTAGCACTTGTGTTGACGGAGGCAGCTATGAGGAGGAGGAAGAGCAAGAGGAGAAGAAGGAGGAGGAGAAGGAGGAGAGCCTGAGTCTCTTATCTCGTTCCCTGCAGGCGTGGAACAACCTTGGCAGCGCGTACATGAGTTTATCCCAGAACGAGGAGGCGATCCAAGCTTTGCGGAAGACGCTGACGTTCATCCCAACCCATCCTATCCCTCTCACAAACCTCGTCATCACTGAGAACAGAGTCTGCGAGTGGAGCCGCAAGTACAAGCATAACAAGTGAGATGATACCTTAGGCTTTGATCTGCTCGAAGTGTTTGCGATGTGCTAGAAGATGAGTTGTGAGGCTGGGATAATCTTCAGAACGTCATCTCATATTGTTTCTCCTCAGGCTTCTCCGGAAAGCTCTCCATGAGCAGCTGGCTCAGCGACGCTCTTTGGTTGTTCCCTTCCATGCCTTGTGAGCTCTTCCTCCTCTCGCGTACTCCAGCTGACATGGTGCTGCAGCGAGTTCAATTTCAGCTCAGACGAGCACAAGAGGAACGCTCAGATGTGGTCGAGGACCGTGGAAGAAAAAGTAGAGCAGAAGCAAGTCCAAGTGAGGCCGTTGACTTGCAACAGGTTGCATACCTCAACCGCTTTGAACCGGGAGGTTCGAAACTGGCAGGGAAAGGTAGCAGATTGAGAATAGGTTACTTGTCGGGATCCGGTGAGCCGCTCAGTCAAAACCCGGCATCAATGCTTTCCTTTTTGAACTTGTCTTCCCTCTACTTGTTTCTTATGCCTTTGCACGGCTTATCTTGTTCTGAATCTTTTCTCTCCTCTTTCTCCTTAGGCCTCTTCTCTTCCTGTTTCTCTACCTTCATCTCCTTGAGCTTGACTTGACTTCTTTAGCTTGACTTGACTTCTTGGGCTTGAGTTGACTTTTCCTCCGCCCAGGGTTTCACAACTCCACCACCACCGCTCGGAGCATGAGGAGTCAATTCTCAATGCACAATCGGTAGGAGGAGCCGCCGATAATAAAGTCGATTGAGAGGAGTGCAGCATGTCGGTAGACGTCTACTGCTACGCTGCTCAGGGCGATGATGGTTCGCCTGTTCGCGCTGCGATCAAGCGAGGATGCGACAAGTAGGCGGAGAGAGCAACAGGTCCTTGATTCCTGACTGAATCCTTCCATGCAGGTTCGTGGAGCTTCAGGGGAAGAGCCATCAAATGGTTCACATTTTTCTCCTCCCCTCTCTTTCCTCGCGTTCATCTTTTCTACCCTGCCTGCCCACCATACCATCCAACCCACTTCTTGCTTTCTCTTTATGTCATTCTTATCTTTACTCCTTTTCAAGTCAATCTTATCTTTACTGCTCTTCAAGTCATTCTTATCTTTACTGCTTTTCAAGTCATGCTTATCTTCACTTCACTTGTTTCTGCCCTTCACTTGCTCAACCCTCGCTCACCAACAGAGCAGATGGCAGAGAGAATAAGAGATGACAACATCAACGTTCTTATCGACCTCACTGGCTACACTATGAACATGCAGACTGAGGTGTTCGCTATCGGTCCTTCTCCAATTCAGGTCCTGCAAAATTTCTCCTCCCATTTCTTTCCTTTTGTTCCATTCTCGCTTTGCCTATTGCCCTGTGCTAGGGAGGATGCATCCTCCTCCTTCAACTTTCTTTCTCCTCCTCCCTTCTTCCTTCTTCATCAGAACTGCTCAAAACCCCCTCAGGTATCTTTCCATGGCTTCCCAGGCACTATGGGCGCGGGTTATATCGACTACTTGACATCTGACCCCTTCACAACTCCTCCTGTAAGGTTTTCTCCTTCACTCCCAAGGATCTTTTGAATTTCTCCATCGCCCTCCCTGTGTCTTGTAGATGTCTCTTGCCCTCCTCGTTACATCTGATACCTGTTACATTGGTAGGACTATGCCGAACATTACACTGAGCGACTCGTCCTCCTCCCCAACACCTACCTCACAAACGATCACCGGCAGAGCCGCCGAGAGGTCACAAAGAGGAAGGAGAGGGGGAGGAAGGGGATCTGCTGCTGCTGCTGCTGCTGCTGCTTCATCGAATTCAGATTGACGTATCCTCCAGGTCTACCTGACAGGCGATGATCCCATTCATGGACCCAAGGTGTGAGGAGCTGCTGGAGATGAAGATGGAGCTGATGGAAATGATGATGATGATGATGATGATGATGATGACAATGACGATGATGGAGACGATGATGGAGACGATGATGGTGGAGATGGAGATTGAGATGATGATGGAGATGATGATGGAGATGATGATGGAGGTCGTGATGATGAATATCCTCTCAAAGAATGAGAAAGTGCGGAGGATCACGTCTGATGATGAACAGCCCACCAGGAGAGAGCTAGGTTTCGACGACGATGACATCATTCTCGCATGTTTCAATCAGGTCAACGCTCATGCTGTTGTCGTTTGTCCTGACAATCGAACTCAAATCATGCCATTACAGCTTTACAAGATAGAGCCGGAGGTCTTCGATGTGTGGATGAAAATTTTGAAACGAGTCCCCAGGCAATGCCTTCATCCTAGTCCTCCTCCTCTATTTCTCCTCTCCTCTTACTTCCCTAGCCCTCCTCCTCTATTCCTCCTCTCCTCTTACTTCATCCTAGCCCTCCTCCTCTATCCCCCTCTCATGGACCTCCTCTAGCCTTCATCCTTGGATTGCTCCAGTGCAATCTATTCATCTCCTTGCTCTTACTTTCTCTCCAGCGCCAAGTTGTGGTTCCTAGAGTTTACCAAGCAGGGAGTTGCGAACCTCAAAAAATCTGCTCAGGTTTGAAACAGAAGCTTTCCTTCCTATCAAATTGAACATCCTCCACACACTCCATCTCCTCCTCTTCCTCTTCTTTCTCCCCCTTCTTGCTTCCTCTCCCACTCAATCCGCCACTTCATCCATTTTCTTCGTTCCTACTCCATCCTTGCCCTTCTCCTTTTCTTCTGGGAGTTTCTCCTCCTTGTTGTTTTCTCTTCCTCCTCTCTCAATCTCTTTGTTTCTTAGAAGCGAGGAGTGGACCCATCGCGCATCGTCAGTCACGAGCAGTTTCCTCGGTGAGAGCAGGAGGGGGAGATGATGACGATGATTTTTGCGCCTGCAGGGAGAGAGAATTTCGAGTGAAGGGACTGGCTGATGTTTTCTTGGACACTCCTCTCTTCAACGCACACACTACTGCCGGTACCATCCTCTTCATCCCTCCAGCATTCCTCCTCATGCTCTTGCTGTCCTTTCCTTTCCCACCTATCCTTCCTTGATCGCTCTCTCCTCTCTCCTCTCTCCTCTCTCTGCGTCTCTTTCCTCTTCTTCTTGTTCTGCTCTCCGTCTATTGATCTTGCTCCCATGGCAGGCGACGTTCTGTGGAGCGGAGTTCCCATCCTGACACTACCAGGTAAACCAAGAGGGACGGGAGGCTCGAAATATCAAGACAAAGTTGAGAAGGAAAGAGGAGGAATCAGTCAGTCAGACAGTCAGTCAGACAGTCAGTCAGGCAGGCAGGCAGGCAGGCAGGCAGGCACAAGAGGAGGGCAGGAGAGTTTGGCTGGTAATGACGCGAGGAGCAGGAGAGAGTTTTGTACAGAGAGTCGCATCGGGGATGGTGAAGTCAGCAGGAATGCAATGGATGGTCACGAGAAATCTCCTTGACTATGAAGAGCTTGCGGTCAGACTCGACCCTTTCCTCCCCTTCCTGCACTACCACCTCGTCATTGTCCTATTCCTCACCTTCCTTTGCATTCTCCTCCTCCTCCTCCTCCTCCTCCCACTTCCCTCACCCCCCCTTCTCTTTAATTTGCTTCCTCAGCGTCTTCAGGTTGTCCGTCCTATCGTATTGAGTCTTTTTGTGCAGGTTGCCCTGATACAGCGGAAGGAGCGGGCGAAGAGCATCAAGGGAAGGTGAAGGGAAGGGAAGAGATGCGGGAAGTTGAAGTTGAAGCAGACTAGAGGATACAAGAGATGAACTTCCTCTCTTCGACACTCAACTGCTTACTGTAATGTTGACTTTGTCTCCTGCTCCTTCTCCTGCTCCTTCTCCTTCCCCTCCTTTTCCTCCTTCTCCTCTTGCCCCTGACATGGCGCAGGAGGAGTTTGAACGAGGACTCCTGATGACCTGGGAAGTCCATGAGGCGATAGGAGCTGCTTACAATATCGGTACAGCAGCTGGGGGAGGGCTGGAGGGAGGTTGTGCGGGGAAGGGAAAGGGGAGAGGGGGGGAGGAGGGGCGAAAGATGTGCGTGTAGCTGAGATGGTTTCAGTGGTTAGCAGGTTGGGTGCAGATCGCAACATATTCCCTGATGGCAAGGTCGCATCCTAGACGAGTGAGGTATGGAAAAGAAGGAACGAAAACTTGAAAAGAAGGATCGAAAACTTGCATCGAAAACTTGAAAAGAAGGATCGAAAACTTGCAACGAAAACTTGGAAAAGAAGGATCGAAAACTTGGTTATGATGAGTAGCCGGGTGTCATTCAGTCTCTCAATAAAGTAGAATCCTCACAGAACGATGATTGCAGTCGCCATATCAATGTACTTCGAGACATGCCGTTTGCGGAATCTTTGATCAATCGTTTGGCTGCGGAAGCGAAGGAGGATGACTAGGGAAACTACACGAGGCCTCACAATGAAGGACTCAATGCACGGTACTGCGATGAAGTTCTGAAGCAGAAGAAGATCTAAAGCAAGATACAACAGGGAGAGATTCCTGCAAAGTAGCTGAGGCGTGGAGAAGGAGATTACAGCATCTTGCAGACGACCTTGATGGCCATCTTGAAGGAACATCGCAAGGAAACAAGACAGTTGAAGTGACAAGTGTTACAAGTTTCAATCTCAGCAAGACTTTCATCAATCACTATGAGAGTCTCTCGATTCGAATACGTATCTTTTGTCATCCCTTCTTGCCAGCGTTCCCCATAGCTCGTACGCAGAACTGAGCTGTCTGTGTCTTCGCCTCCTTCTGCTTCTCTGAGACAAGGAGGGTCAGTCGGGTGGCCGCCTGGTTCTCCGGCTCGATCTCTAAGATGCTCCTGCAGTCCCGTTCCGCCTCCTCGTAGTGACCCAGCTCCAGGTTCGCTTGCGCTCGCCTGAATTTCGCCTTGATCATGTTCGTTCGAATCGCAAGCGCTTGACTGCAGTACGCGATAGTTTCGTTGTACTTGGCCCGCTTGTAGCACACGGTTGCTCTATTCGTCAGCAGTAGAGCCCTTTCGTCCCCCACTATCCGCCGATGCTCCCTCGAGCCGTCACCCTCCTCGCACAGCAGGAGGTCAAAGGCGCTTTCATAGAAGCTGTCAGCTTTCTCGTACTCGCCCGACGTGAAGAATTCGTTTCCTCGCTCTCGGCGTATCTTGACGTGGCGCATCAGGTCCTCGAACTCCATGCTCCACGACGGTTTGACGTTGAAGATTTGACACTCCCACAAGATGTGCTCTGACTGCCCGAGCTCAGGCAGCAGAGGCTTCAGACTAGGACCGACGCTCCTCGCTATCTCACCGGAGATATCGATCACAGCGTGCTGCCCCTCCTTGAGATGTACCAGCGCGTCCTCGATGTACCCGCCCAAATCTCCGTCTCCAATTATGACGGTGAAGTTTCGAGCAGGCATGAAGACGTGACCTGCAGACGTTGATCCCTGCCAAGCACGTCAGCTCTTGTCAACGCTCGCCAACTCCCTAAGAGACTCACATGTAGCACGAGTGTGACGATGGACAGGTCTTGTATATGCGTGAGAAATGACAGAGGAGCTCCGATGATCTTGAGGTTCACTGCCCCTAACTTGTCGCTCTGAAAGAGTTCAAGCTTGACATCCCAGTCGACAAGCTCGACGTAAAACTCCAACTCGTCATATGGGAGGTCTGGATAGGCCAGGTTGAAATACTCCCTTTGTACGGTAATCCTTGTAAAGAGTAAGGCTGGAATGCGGGGAGATATCATGGAGAAGAGACAAACCTTGAGATCGATCCCTTGACGAGCTCTTTGCCAATAGCTAGCGCAATGCCGTGAGGTAGTCTGCCCGACAGCTCTTTGTAGTCGTGACGAGTCCCCGTGTGATTCAAAAGATATTCCTTGAATTCGTCCGGGCAACGACTCTGACATCAAGGGGATCAATAGCATGAAAGAGTGTCATAAGAGCTACGTCGCGAATCCTCTGATCAGCCAGCTTTTCCTCGGGACTCTGAAAGTTGTCTTGATCTGCGACAAGTTTGACTGTTGTCATGATCCCACCGGCATTGCTTGCAGACCTTGTAAGTCATTTTTGTAAATCTCATTGTTGGAATCGGGGAAGGAGCTCCGAAGGATAGTGAACGTCTCTTCATTGAGAGATTTGAACAGCATCCTCCCCTTGCAATCTTTGATCACATTCGCAATATTTGTGAGCAGCTGACCTGATGTACGACGATGTATGTTAACCTGACATCAACTTCATCCCCCAGATTTGTGCTGAAGGGAGTTTTCCAGTTGACACTCGCATCGAAACTCGAATGCCGCGCTTCCCTGTTGAGCAGTGAGCATACAGACTGCACAGCAAAAGAGCTGAGCTCACGGTGAAGTCGGGACAACTGTTCCATTTGCAAGGACCTGAACAACGTTTCATCTTGAGAGCCAACAGCATTCTGATCGCAATACATCGGGCCACTGAGTTATGTATGAGAGAAGTATGCTTCCTTTGCCATTCTTCAAGATGTCTTCTCCTCCGAACCGTAGCAGCTCTATCTCCTGTCAAGGAAACAGTCGACCGAGCACCACAATCAGCGAGCTTACCAATGTCACTGTCGCATTCGGCGGCACCAGCCCGTCTTGAGCTGGACATGAACGAGTCAGACATGATGCGGAAGCCAAGAGTACTTGCATCCTCTGGTTCCAAAAGCGCAGCCATGTTCCGCCTAGAACAGGTACAGTCATCCCACACCCACTTCCTGGTTCGAGGCTGCAGTCACACCTTGACCAGGACCCTGTCTCCGCAGCGCATCCGCTTCAATGCAGACTCGATAGCTTTGATCTGTGAGGGCAAGATGAGACGACTGCTCGCACACCATTTCACTGTACATGACATCCATGTGTGCGACCTCTTTCGTCCACCATTGCAGTTGCAGGATTGCCTCCGAAGGTGTTGTTGAACACACGCTTCCCTTCTGTGAGGTATCCCTTGTAGTTGTAGAAGACCACACAGGGGGTGGAAGGCAATGGCAAGCCTGTACCTCTCTTGACGTACTTCATCTGCTGCTCTCAAGATAAGGCCTACTAGTCAACTTGCACGGGTGGGTTCCTTACCATCCGTGGGGGTCCTGAGGGTACCGAGCTGCCGCCTCGTAACCGGATGGCATGAGAGGGCAGGGTAAGGAGGGGAGGAGGGGAGGGAGCCACGAGGTGTGAGAGGTGGGATGGACAAGCAAGACATGCGAGCAGCACGTGGACGATCATCCAACTTCTCCTCCCCATCCTCGAAGCGACTGCTCAGGTCCCCCTGAGCATTCCCAGAACCCTCGGCGTATGTGGACATATGAGTAAACTTTCTGGTACAAAACCACAAGTGCCGCCGGGCGGCCCGGTCCATCAGTGGGATCTGGTCACGTCGCCGGGCCGCCGAGCGTGACCACATGTAGTGTAAAAGCACCGCGACAGCTCTACAGTACGGAGGCTCATGCTGGGCCGCTGGGCAGCAGAACCGACTTGGCAGTGCGCAGTGCCATATAAGTTGAACGTGTCATTCAGTCACAGTGAAGGGAAGTTTGGGAACTTAGAGACGCCTGAGGCATCCCAAAACCCGGCTGAAAACGCAGCGCCATATAAGTTGAACGTGTCATTCAGTCACAGTGAAGGGAAGTTTGGGAACTTAGAGACGCCTGAGGCATCCCAAAACCCGGCTGAAAACGCAGCGCCATATAAGTTGAACGTGTCATTCAGTCACAGTGAAGGGAAGTTTGGGAACTTAGAGACGCCTGAGGCATCCCAGCAGAGGCCGGGAGGCTCCCGGACGGACTTAGAGGGCTGAAGATCCGCGCTCATAGGAGGGGCAGTCAGCCTTGCATCGTTCCCAGGCAGTGTCAATGGCAGAGAGGACCTGGAAGGCGTCAGCTCTAAGACATTTGACCGCGAGTTTGACCTCCGGCGACAGAGCGTTCTTATCCTTGAGGGCCTTGAGGTTCGAGTCAAGCTGCTGCTCGCTGCTCGCCCCGATGATGATCGCGTCGCCATCCTGCGAGAAGAAGAGAAGGACAGTCAGGGAGTGAGAGTCAGGGAGTGAGAGTCAGGGAGCGAGAGTCAGGGAGCGAGAGTCAGGGAGGGAGAGTCAGGGAGGGAGAGTCAGGGAGGGAGAGTCAGGGAGGGAGAGTCAGGGAGGGAGAGACAGGGAGGGAGAGACTGGGAGGGGGAGTCAGGGAAGGTGAGTCAGGGAAGGTGAGTCAGGGCTAGACTAGAACATGACTGGCAGCTGACAGCTCCTGCTCTGCTGCATGCGAGGGGGAGAGAGAGGAGGCATAGCAGGCAGCAAGTCGGGGCAGGTTTATCACCTGTAGCTTGGAGTGGTGCAGGAGCCATCGGAAAGCCGCGGAGACCATGCTGAAGTGATGAAAGCTCAGAGATGAAAGTTACAGTAAGACTCCGCAAACCTTGTCTGTTCTGCATCGCACGCCTTCTGAATGCTGAGATCACGTGTGTCAGCTTCCCATTGTGAAGCACAGCAAACGTGTTTTCACCTCTCTGCAGCATCGAAGAAAGAATCCTTCCAGAACCTGGGGGAAAGGTCAAAAATGACATCATGTGTAACAGTCACGTGATACGTCAAACATAGTCAGACATGACAATTACGTAGAATGTCATATACTTGAGTCGATTACAGTCGAATGTAACAGTCACATATGATTTCGAATGTAACATTCGCAAGTATCCAAGATGTCGTGGAGATCAGAGGCAAGAGTAACTGAGAAGGCAGATAATCGCATCATACACGACAGATGAATGTGATGCTGAGCAACAACAGGAAGATTTGATCGAAACATCTGAAATTCACCTGTCCTTGTACATCTTGTTGTTTTGAAATCGACCAGCCGACGGGTCTTCATTTCTCTGGTGTTTGCCCGACAGAATACCGCCAGCAAGCGGGTTGTAGCAATAGAAAGAAATGCCAAGTTTCCTTCATCCCAGCTCTCAGACATCAGCAGCAGCGTGAACAAGATTTTCAACCTCAAGCAGGGCAGCAGCTCCCGTTCTACCTCTCTTGTCACTGCATTGTACATCCCCTGATACACCTGATGAGACTGTGAGATACCAACACTCACTACATCTACATCACAGTCGGAGAGAGGTAGTTGTTCTTCGAGCATATCTGATGGATGTAGCAAACTTCCCATGCCTTCGATGGCGCAGTGACACACAGAAACGATTGCAAAACAAGACTGAAATGAGTTTGCACCTGAAAGTTCGATAGCCCCAGTGCCTGTACAAGGTCAGACGAGAGGAAGTGTTAAACGTTTCTAGCCACCTTGATCTTCCCTTCTTTGTGCAGCTGGTTCACGGTAGCGAGTGTGTCTTCGATGCGCGTAGCTGGGACGAGGAGAGAGGCAAGTCAAGATAACAAGCGAGAAGGTGAGGAAGAGGAAGCGGGGCAAAGAGGGGGGGGCGTTTGACAAGATGGGGAAGTGGGGGTGAAAGGGGGTTAAACCAGTGTCAGGAGCATGCAGGTAGAAGAGGTCGATAGAATCTCGCTTCAAACTCTTGCAACTTGTTTCCACCTGAGCAACACGAGATCATGACAGAAATGTGACATCTCATAACAGAAACGTGACATCTCACCTTCTTTCGAAGCTCTTCCGGTGACAAGCCGCCATTGCCATTCATTGTCATCCCCTGCCACGGGCCTGCACCACCTGTCAACCCAGCAACACAAGCAGCGCAGCGCCTGACCGGCTTTGGTTGCGAGTACCCCAAGTCGCTTGGCTCTATGAGAGGAATCAGACTAGAGGGAAGCTCGGATATCGCAGAACCTCTCAGTGTCGGGTCCCAGCAAAGCTCCAATCATCTCTTCTGTCTTCCCTCCCGCATACGTCAAGGCCGTGTCAACGTCCTGTACCGACTTGTCACCATGCCAGAGCTCGGGCCTTGCGAACCTTGTGTCCGGCATCGAAGAAAGCATCGAGCATCTTTCCCGCTACTTGGTTTTCAATCTTTGATGACGAATAACTCCAGCCGAATGTCATCGTTCCCAGGATAACCTAGAGCAACATCAGCAAGGGCTGGGCACAGGCTGGCAGGCAGGCGATCTACCTGTATGTTTGTGCTCATGGCGCAGGAGACGGGAGAGGATGCTGGTCTCTTACGAAGCTGAGAGCGGAGGAAGCTGCTTGCGTGTGTCTGTGCTCGAACCTGCAGGTGCCGCACTGATCCCAGGCAGGCAGGGGGGAGCATGTGGTAGGGCAAAGGGGGGATCGCCTTTATATGTCCCCGGTACAAATTATTGAAAATTTTACTACCACACTTTAAATATTTTTCTTGAAATAAGTTTTAAGATGAGTGTGTTATGGTACTGATATTATATATATCCATAGCAAACTTGTTTTATAAAGGACAGCACAAGAAGCTACCTGCCAAATAGGATGAATGTTGGGCAGCATATTTTTGCGACTCTAGGAGGGAGGAGTATGGCAAAAGCGGGGTCGAGTCTCCTCCTCCTCCGCCTCCTCCTCCTCCTCCTCCTCCTCGCCCTGTCATGCCGGGCAGATGCCGAACCTGATGAAGAGACGCAGGCAGTCGAGATCCTCTTCCCGCGAGACAGGAGGCTGATGTCGCGCGAGCAGGAGCAGGAGCCCGTTCTGCTTCTCCGATTCCGTTGCTCTGCTCTCCGCAAAAGTGCCTTGTCACTCGCGATCGCACAGAGAAGCTTGATGGAGGGGAAGAAGGAGTTCCAAGCAGAACCATGCAGGGATGACCAGACTCATGAAGATCGCTTTTACAGCTTGACGAGGCCAACAAACATACACGTCCACGACAGGTTCGATGTGATCAAAGTGAGTTTGCGAGTCGAAGAGAGCCAGGAACGAAAGGAAGGAAAGGATCACAGCGAACTGTTCACTACCAGCTGTCACTTCTGGTGGCCTCCTCAAGATTCTTCTCGCAGTGTTCTCCTGCTCCTCCCCTCCTTCTGCTTGTCCAACTACATCATCTGGAAACACCTCATCACCGAGATCGCGTCATTGTATGCAAATGTCGTGCTGCCGGTCAAAGAGGAGGAGAAAAGACTGTGAGCATGAGATATTTTGATGTCGTTCCTGACCCTGTCCTTAGGTTTCATGTCTTTGTCAAGGACTACGTCAACGTCCAGCCCCTCCCCTTCCGCCATCTGGTTTGCTGCGATCCCCTCTCTTTCTGTTCTTCCTCCCGCTAGAACAACTGAAGAATCCTCCTCAATCCCCCGTCTCCCTCCTTCTCCACCACCACCACACCTCCTCCTCCTCCTCCTTTCTCCCCCTCCTCCTCCCCCTCCTCCTCACTTCACCCTTCACTCTCCTCATCCTAAACTCTCCGCCCCTAGTTTTCACACCTCCATGTCCGCTGCTGATCATCGTCTTCAGTCCGACCTATCGAAACTCTTGGATGAGCTGACAGGTGGAGGAGGATGCATAGTCAACAAGCAAGTGACGCAGCTGCTGCAGGAGACACCGAGGTAGTCGGAGCAGGACAATGGAAACCAGACGAGGAAGCGACAATGCAGGAGAAGCTATCAAGAGCTTCAGATGAAGTTTGTCCCCTAGGAGACTCACAAGTCCTCTCGCCCTCCCTCCCCATCCTCCTCCAGTCCTACCTCCACGTCGGACTGACTTGGGAGCATCTCCCTCCTCCTCTTGCCTCTTACTTGCGTCTCTTCCTCTCACAAGAGCCTTCTGCCGACCCGCTCCTCTATCAGCATACTCGCCAGCTCCTTCTCCCTTACGCCGCCTTCCCTCCTTCTCCTTCTCCTCCTCCTCCTCCTCCTCCTCCTCCTCCTCCTCCTCCTCTTCCTCCCCCTCCTCCTCGCGTTGGACAGTCGCGAGTCGCGTTTGTCTGGGATGTTGCTCAATCTCCATGCGGGATGTTCAGACATTTGCCGGAGATGCGCAACGTGACGACCAAGAGGAAATTTTCAAACTCGGAGGAGCGGGAGGAGGGGCGGGAGAGCTTGTTCCTTGCTCCTCACCTACTGGAGCAGGCGGATGAGATTCATCTTCGTCACAGGTCCCAGCTGCGCTCGTGAGGGTATCGAATGACGTCTTTTTTGGTGTCAAGTTTTTTCGCCGTGTGGGTCGATCGGCTCAACGTCTCCCGCGCCTCTCGCAGAGTTATCTACGTGTGCGCGCGTGATGAGCTGACGGAGAATGAGCGATGTGGACGAGCAGGAGCAGGAGCAGGAGCAGGAGCAGGAGCAGGAGCAGGAGCAGGAGCAGGAGCAGGAGCAGGAGCAGGAGCAGGAGCAGGAGCAGGAGCAGGAGCAGGAGCAGGCACAGGAGGAGCAGCAGGGAGGTGCGAGTTGGTGCTAAAGTCAAGGGAATGGATCTATCACAATCATGATTGGGAGTTTGTTTGCCTGCTGCCTGCCGACGGTACCGATAAGATCACTCGAGAGAATGTCAAGGAAAAGTTGAACAGCCGAATACCCATGGACGAATTTACCCCTCAATTCTACCAGGTCATCTCCTCCTCCTCCTCCTCCTCCTCCTCCCCCTCCCCACTCCTCCTCCTCCTCCTCCTCCTCCTACGTCTATTCCCCAAGACACTCCTCCCCATCTGGATAATCCTCTCCTCTCCTTCTCTTCCATAAATCGCGTTCTCTGTGTCTTCTCGTTTCCTCTTCCTCATCATCCCCCGACAGAATTATGAAATCTGCGACGACAACTACATCTCCTGGCGAAAGGTCCTGGTCTCGACCCTCCTCTCCTCTCCTTCCCTTTCCTCCTCTCTTCTAATCTCCTCCTCGCTTCCCTTGACATGATGCTCTTTCTCCTTGTCGCTCCCTCCTCCTCCCTGGTTTTCTCCTCTCACTGTTACTACTCCGTTACTTTCCTCCCTCCCTCCGTCCTTGAGCCACGACAATTCTCAATGGGAGACTAG